AGAGAGAGAGAGAGAGAGAGAGAGAGAGAGAGAGAGAGAGAGAGATTGAGAGAGAGATTTTTTTTTTTCTTGCCCAGGATCTCTAGGCTTCAGCTTTCCTTGTGAACCACCAATTCTGATTTTAGCATTTCAAGTTAGGGAAAGAATACACTAGGATTTAAATTTTCTGTAAGGTTAAAGCCCATGCCTTTACCTGGAAACACCTAAATGAAGTAAACAGAGGAGTCCTGAGAGAGGACACTCCGAGGTGGGTGAGGAAGAGACAGCATGAAGGTCCTACAGCGGCGGTCTTTCCCCTGGTGCTTTGCAGAGCCCCGAGTTAGCTTCCTGCCTGGCTCGCAGAGGCCCTAAGGGGATCATTTCCAGCTAGCTATTTTGGGAGGGCAATTACCCTGAGTACTTTCACCCCTTCCAGCGCCGCACAGAAGCCTTCTGGGGAGCCTTAAGAGGGAATGGGCAAGCCACGTGCTCTCTCTCTCTCCTACCCAGGGGACCCCAAATGCTGCCATTGCCAGAGTCAGGCTCTTTGCCGGAGAAGTCTGAGTGTGTGGTGAGTGGGTGGGGAGGGGTAGAGCGGGGCTTCACATCCTATCGGCCGCTGGCTCCTGGTTGCCATGGTGACCTCTCCTGCAGCCACTCTCACATGGATTTCAGCTGGGTGGAAAGAGCAGCCCCGGGAAGGGACCACACTACCACCAGCTTGGACACCGCAGGCTTCAGGATTCGCTAGTGCTGTTCCCTGGCATGGTGCAGAAGTCTCTCAGGTTCACGGGAACAAACCTGCCCCTCCACATTCCGGGGCTTCTGTACTGCAAATTTGTCCAGAATCCACAGCCGGAAGGAAAGTGGTTCCCTGCCTGCAGGACCGTTCCAGACTCCCCCCCCCCACCACCACGCCTCCCTCCCTCCCTGTCTTGGAAATGGCTCTGAATTGACTGCTCTCTCTTCCTGCCTGTGTTCCACGAGGGAGGATGCTAGCTAGTTATGATAACCAAGGAACAGACCTTCAACACGGCAGGCCTGGTAATAAGTGCTCGACGCGCCCCATTTCCCTCTGATATGATCACATCCCATATAGAGTAGGACTCATTTTACACCTGAGGGCTCTGATGTTTGAGGAAGTAAGTGCCTTGCCCAGGGTCACTGAGCGAGGCTGTGATGGAACTTGGATGGGAGCCCAGGTTGTCTGAGGGTTGAGGCTGCGCTGGAATTAGACGCTGTCTCTCCAGCTGGTCCCCCCCCCCCCCCCCCCGCGGTGGAGCTGCCTAGATATGAAGAGGTGCACACACTGAGCTGCGGGGGACAGCAAGGTGGCCGAGGACAGAGGGCCCGCCCCTTCACTGTCACTTTCTCACTAAATGCCCCAGGGAGAAAACCAACCCGTCTAAATGTGAAGAGGAGCCCCTTCCGGGGTTTAATGAACTGGAATAAATAGCAGCCTGCCTCCTAGAAGGTTCGCATTGTATTTAAAATAGTAACGGGTGATTTCCAGAATGCGATGGACTGTCTTTCTTGTTTGCTTTTGCAATATCTCCTTTGTGAAAGGACATCTGTCTGTGATGTAAAATTCAGTGCAAGAAATGTTAGCTTCGAAGTCTCCGGTGGGACTCTGGGGACGTTTAAATATGTCCCCCCTCCAATCATTTCAATAACATTGGTACCCAGAAGAAATGTAGCACACCCCTGGAAGTTGTTGGTGATGTGTGTGTCCCCTCTCCTCACCATCCACGCATCCAAATCCTCACCCACGCTGTGGTAGCGTTAGGAGACAGAAACTGTCGTGAGGGTGGTGTTCTCAGGAACGAGAAAGCCACTTCCTTTACCAAAGAGACCGAGAACAATTTGGTCTCTCGGCTTTGGAGAAGGCAAGTGTATGGACTGTAGAGCCCTCACTAGACACCCAGTCTGCTGACTCCTTGGCCATGGATTTTCTAGCTGCCAGCTATTTCTCCATGAGAAGTAACCCTGTTGTTTATCAGCCTGCAATCTATGGCGATCTCTTATTGCAGCTGGAAGGGACTTACACACCAGGGGGTTTGCTTTGTGAGAATCTGTTGGGCCGTACACTGAGTACTTGTGCACTTTTTTGTCACTGTGTTATATCAATGCAAATGTCACCTGAAAGCCAGACCAGTTAGGCCTGGTGGTGCCCTCCTGTAATTCCAGTAACTTGGGAGGTTGAGAAAGATCAGCATGAGTTCGAGACCAGCCTGGTCTATATAGCAAGCCAGGAGTCAATAGTAAAGTCTTGTCTCAGAAAGACAAAGGGGTGGGGGGGGGAGAGGGAAATGGCGAGGGAGAGAGGGAGAGAGAAGGAGAGAAAGAGGGAGAGAGGGAGAGGGAGAGAGACAGAGAGAGGGAGAGAGAGAGGGAGAACAAAACAAAAGAGATCAAAATCCATGGCACATTTCCCGTAGTTCCAGTCACTCAGAAGATGAGGCTGGGGCATTGCTCCAGCCTGGGTACTGGAGGCCAGCTGAGCTATCTCTGCATGGTGCTTACATTACAAGGTGCAAGGGGGCCTTGATTGCTTCTGTCTACTTTTGGGTGGATCCAAACAGCTCTGACTCTGGCCTTCCATCTGGGCTGTCAGCACCCCTTAGAGGCTTGCCTGCCCCCCCCTCACCGTCTCCCCCCCAAACCTCTCTGGTAAGCTTTGCTTTCTTAGGGTTGGCTCCTGGGGATCTGGTGCTTCCTGCTGGCAGCTTCTAGGGGCTTACCAAATATGGTTTGCATAGGTTGGCGGAAAGCCTTCACGGTGGGGCTGGGGGTGGGTGGGCTCAGTGGCAGAAAGCTTGCCTAGCATGCATGAGGCCCTGGGTGTAATCCTCTGCACTATGAAATGTAAAGCAAAATCAAATACATTGTGTGCACAGCAAAGAGGGGAAGGGAGCAAGAGATGCTCTTGGTGTATAGATGTGTGTGCTCACCCACAAGCAGGGCTCAGGCCAGCCAGCAGATCAGAAAGCCATCAAAGTGTCTTCAATGGCATCTTGCCTCTACCACACACTAGCTATGTGACCCTGAGGGCTGTCCTTAACCTTTCTGAGCTCTGCTTTGTCACTTGCAGAGTGAGAGTGGTACCTAGGGTCACGTGCACAAAGGGCTTAGCCTAGGGCCAGGTACACAGCAAACACAAACTAAATGCCCGGGGATAGGCTCTGGCATCTGGTGGGTGATGTAGCGTAGAGCCAAGGCTAAGAATTATGGTCTAAATTTGCCCTGATGATTGCACCATGGAGGAGATCTGGAATGTTAATTCCCTTCTTTTCCTCTGCTACAGATAGGAGAAGAGTTCAGAGGGCAGCTCTCTGGAAAGACGCAGAAATGTCAGAGGAAAGACATTCCTTCTGCTAACCACAGACGTGCATGGATCACATGCTGACCGCTGTGTGGTCGACCACAGGGGGTCAGGTGTGACTTCTATCCATGGGAGCCAATGCCCCTGAAGGAAGCGGGCTAATGGGGTGCCCTCTGATGGAGAGCACAGGACTCTCCTCCATTTGGCTGTGTGCTCTTTCACACGTACAAAATGGGTGACTTGAAGCCTTCCCATTGCTGATGCTGTGAAGGCCCACAGGTGTCTCTTCACAGCGAGAGAAGCCCTAAGACAGATGTGTACAGCTATCATTCATAATTGCCCAATCTCACAAGATACAAAAGAGAGTAAAGAAATAAATGGTTGTGTGTTCAGATGCTGGGCTTTAATTCCGTGATGAAAAGGAAGGAGCTACCAAGCCAAAAGACATGGGGAGCCTTGAAGTCACGAGTCCGTGCCCGAAGTCATTCTGAATCATTCCAACTGCCATCGATGCCCCACAGCAGGCAAAGTCGCAAGACAGTAAAAGGATCAGTGTTGGCCAGATGTTGGAGGAGGGAAGACACAGCTGGCAAAGAGGGAGTTCAGGGCAGACAATCATTTGGGATGATGCTCTAAGAGTGGCTATGTGTCATTATATACAGCTCAAAGCTTGGGGCAACTTCCTGTGTCAATGCAGGCGCCTCCGTCGTGGGTCAGTCATACCATTGTGCTTAGAGGTATTGATTAGGGGTGGAGTTTCAGCAGACTTTACAAGTTAAGTCTGATGAAAACAAAACCAAATAATAACGGCAACAAAACTTCCTGTGCCAAGTGTGGTCAAGAGGCGTGGGTTTGGGCTGTCGAATCTGAGTTGGAATTGTGACTCTGTCCCCTAGGCAGCTGTGACTGTCACAAGCTAGCTACTCGGTCTGCACTCCCGAGTCTCATCTGTACAATGGGCATGGCAAGAGTGCCTGGTTTGTGGGTTCCTGTGTGGATTGGGAGAAGGAACGGGTCTAAAATGTCTAGCGAAGTGCTAGGGCACCTGTAGGAGCTCAATCAATATTCGCTACTATCTAAAAACAAACGCTTCAAAGAGCTGATTCCTATCGACTGGCTGGCACTGCCTTTAGCACTGCCATCCCTTGCTGCCAGGATACATGAAAAGAGTGACTTCTCTCCGCCGTGACAGAGTGGAAGATCTCAAGGCAGAGTCCTCAAGTCCACACATGCTCTGAGACCCAGAGAAAATGCTCTTGACAGGACTGTTCCAACATCCCCAGCCACAAAAAAACGAGACATACTCTACACTTGAGGATCTTTTGCCTAAGTGACCTGGCAGATACCCAGCCCGCATCCTGCCCTTCGTCAGCCAAGCATTGTTCTGTGTCCGCTGTGGCTCTGGGGAGAAAAGTTGGGTGCTGGATTGAGTTAGGTTCACGGTCTACCACAAGGCCATTTAGTCTTCTGACCAGAACAGCCACCTTGAACCCTGAGACAGAGGATGCCCTCCAATGTGGAATGCTGAAATCTGCGCGCGCGCGCGCACACACACACACACACACACACACACACACACACACACACACACACACGAAACCATCTTGTTGGAATCTCATAACAATCCTGTAGTCAGTCCAGAGCACTGGAGGTGTAGAGTCCTCAAGGATTTTTAGTCTTTATGAGGTACACTTTAGATCCAACTGGCAGACTTCAAAGCCACCTTCAATTTATAACCTTTTTTGCTGTTGTTATTGGTTTTTTGGGACAGGTTTTCTCTATGTAACAGCCCTGGCTGTCCTGGAACTCACTTTGTAGACCAGGCTGGCTTTGAACTCAGCTAAATATGCCTGCCTCTGCCTCCCATGTGCTGGGATTAAAGCTGTGTACCACTACTTCCTGGCTAGTCTGTGACTTTTTTTTTTTTTTTCAAGACAGAGTTTCTCTGTGTAGTTTTGGCGCCTGTCCTGGATCTCGCTCTGTAGACCAGGCTGGCCTTGAACTCACAGAGATCCACCTGGCTCTGCCTCCCGAGTGCTGGGATTAAAGGCGTGCACCACCACCTCCTGGCTGGTCTGTGACTTTAATGTTCTCCCATTGCAAACAAAAACGAGTCCCTGGGGTCAAGGGTAGCCCATTGCATTGCTAAGAGGCCGCTTTCTCCTACCCCATTGCACAGTCCTCAAGTGCCTAGGAGGTTCAGTGATTTGGCCTCCATTAGGTGACTAGGGTCTAAACCAATT